GGTGGGTTTCCTCATGCACCGCGACCAGTTGTTGATCTATTGTACGTCGCCCTTTGATATTCTACCAGTCGCCATACCCTTCCGATACCGGTGCTTGCTATCAGCCCCGTTCAGCCAGAGAGTTCGGCCCCTCTACTGGCAGAGGTACCCGATACTTCCCCCATCTACCGGAGGCACTGGAAACTACTTGGGCGGGAAACTTTTTACCTAATTTTGCTCAGAGGTCTCCTTGAGATATGAGGATATTTTACGTGCCGTAAATCTATGACACGGGACCCACGGCTTAAAGTCCCTCCCGGAGGACCTGTTCCCTGAATTTTTCCATCCTTAAAAATTCCACGAACTTCGCCGGGTTTGCCCCACGTACCTTGAGTCATGAGGTGGGAACGTTACCCCTAGACTACGGAGGCCGCTAATGTAAAATTTTAAGTAGTATTTCAGGTTCTCACAGCGGTGATTAAGAGTTCTACCTTGTCAGATGGGGGCACGCGGTTGCGTAGTTGGTTGAGGCACTGTGCCACAAGCCAGAAGGTCGAGGCATCGAATCCCGATGAGGCCACTGGATTGTTTTCAATTGACCTGATCCTTCAAGCCACACTATGGCCCTGAAGTCGACTCAGCCTCTAACAGAAATGAGTAGGAGGAATATTCTTGAGGATAAAGGGCGGCCGGCGCGTAAGGCCGACAACCTTACCGCCAGCCATGAGCCGGGTGTCTGAAAATGTGAGGACCTCAACATCTCACAACCCAATGGGCCTCCGAGGCCTGTTACAGGGATATCTTTACTTTTTTCTTTAATTTTACCTTATCGGATATGACGATGGATATTCCGTTGAAATTCAACCGACGTTTCAGAGGAAAATGTCGCCTCCATCTTCAGGGTCGAAGAATAAGTCAAGTAAGAAACAAGCACGAAGCAGGTAGCAAGTAGAGCCATATTTGCTACCTGCTTCATACGGGTTTCTTACTTTCATGCTTGGCTTATTCTTCGATCCTGAAGATGGAAGTGATATGTTCCTCCGAACGTCAGCTGACTCTCAACATACAAAAGTGTGTTATATCTCAGAAGAGAGAGCTCTTCATTGATAAAGAGGTCAGAAGTCCATCGAATCATGTTGTGATAACCCCAGTAGCGTAATTGAAATAATTTTCTTTTGAATGCCATATCTAATGAAGTAGCGTCATAGCTATATTAGTTGGATACGCGAACAACGTAATATCCGTCTTATATTTGAGGCTCTCACAGCGGTGACTACAAGAGTACTACATTTTGGGATCTGTCGCATAGGCGTTTCGGAGGAATATAGTGCCTCCATCCTCAGGGCGAAATGACGGAAACAACGCACACAAAACATCTGTGTTCAATTTGCGGCACAGCTGTGATTATTGCAAGCAAATCATGCTATGGTGCTGTTCCGTATATCTGAACATAATTTTAACTCTTTTGCACATACATACCCGTGCAAACTAACATTTGTTGGTAATTTCCATGTGTAAAAAAATGGCATTTCTTTGAAACAATATTTTCCGTCAATATATCTCCTTATGAAAAATATGTCCATGTAATTATCCAGATACACACCTTCAACGTTTAGGAATGATCCTTTCTAAAGCACTTTTTTGAAAATATGTAAGGAGGCCTCATCCTTGCCACAGTTTTGGGCCTCCCGCTGTCTTAATCCGGTTCTGCAGGTATCTCAAGGGATTTTAGAACGAGACAATATATCACTGTATTCAGTTTCACGACTAAGAGACTACGCCCTTCAAACTACTTTAAAAAGTTTGACTTTAAATGACAATGAAACTCTGTGGAGAACACAGACTTGCCATTCTTCACCTGCCATTGTTTACTTTCACAAGACAACTATGAGGTAAGTTAAGGCCGCGCCACAGCTCAAGCGGTTAGTCGCTGGCTACCCATCGCGGCGGCCCGGGTTCGATCCCGGGTCTGGTCAAGTGGGATTTGTGGTGGACAAAGTGGCGCTGGGGCAAGTTTTCTCCCAGTACTTCGGTTTTACCTGCCAATCATCATTCCACCAATTGCTCCACAATCACCCTCACCTATCATCATATACAAGAATGCACGCTAATAATTCGACCAATTATATAATTTAAAAATAAGTAATCAACATTATTTCAACAAATAAATAAAACATGTGTGAGATTAATTTACTTGAAAATGACATTTCTCCCTTCTCGGAAATATACTTGGAATATCATCACGGTACGATCGTGAATAACCGTGAAGGAAACACCTTTCTGAGCATCGAAGCAGCGAAGGAATGAATGTCTACGCACAGAACTGCACCCGTTAACAAGTTATTCCCGACAAAAGATGCGTGCTGCGTATAAAACTGTAAACTGCGTGATGACGAAGCATTGGAATAGCAACATTTAGACCAACATACGCTGCGAAATGTAGAAGAAGATGGTCACAATCAGAATACAGCTGTTGAATCATCCTCTGTCCTTCAGAACACCTTTTCACTGTCGAAGAGTGTACCAAATTATGTACCGTAATTTAAATGAGGCACACAGCGCAGTTGGCTCAGGCAATATGTTACAAAGCCGGAAGGTCGCGGGTTCGATTCCTTAATGAGGTCACTGGAATTTCAAATGACCTAATCCTTTCAGCCGCACTGTGGCCCTAGGGTCGAGTCAGCCTCTAGCAGAAATGAATACGAGGATTCTTCCGGGGGGTAAAGGGCGGCCGAGGAGTAAGGCCGAAAACTTCATCCCCATTTATGAGCCGATTGTCTAGGGAAAATGTGGAAGCCTCGACATCTCACAAACCTATGGGCCTCCATGGCCTGTTACATGGATAGCTTTACTTTTCCACATAGCAACAATGAGAGCTCAGGCGGCTAGGCACGAACTTCTCTCCGCGAAGTTCCGAGTTCAATGACAGGTGACTTCATGTGAGATTCATGATGGACGAAGTGGCCTCTGGAGCAGATTTTCTTCGCGATTCTTCAGCTTTTCGCTACTGATTATTATTATTGGAGGGGGTGGGTTTTCCCATGCACCGCGATTAATAGTCTATTGTACGTCCCCCTTTGATATTCTACCAGTCGCCATACCCTTCCGGTACTGGTGCTAGCTATCAGCCCCGTTCAGCCAGCGAGGTCGGCCCTCTACTGGCAGTGGTACCCGATACTTCCCCATCTACCGGAGGCATTGGAAACTACTTGGGGGGGGACTTTGCCTAATTTTGCTCAGAGGTCTCTTTTACGTGCCGTAAATCTACGACACGGGACCCAGGGCTTAAAGTCCCTCCCGGACGACTTTTTCCCTGAATTCCACGACCTCTGCCGGGTTTGAACCCGCGTACCTTGAGTCATGAGGTGGGAACGTTACCCCTAAATTACGGACGCCTCTTTCGCTACTGATCGTCATTCCATTATTGCACCATCGTTCCGCGAAGTTTGCGATAGACGAGACAGCACATTATCATGTCCTCGGTTTTATGGTTAGGGCTTCATCTCTGGTCCAGCACTTGGCAGGACACGGAGTAAGAAAGTCAGGACCTTAGTGCGGCTGGAAGGATTAGGTCAATTAAAAATTCAGTTACATCATAGGGAACCGAAACAGCGACCTTCCGGCTTGTAGCATAGTACGCTATCGTGTGTTCCCTGTTTCTACATACCCCTCCATATTAACTCGGCAATATACCAAGAGGTATCACTGCTGTTTGTAAGTGTTCAGGACACAATGCCTCAGTAAACATCTTGATAAAGAACTCGCTGTCATGTATGTTCGGTACGATATGTAATACAACTGAGATGGATGTAGATATACAATTATATTAAATTGTGTAACAACTTTCGTAAACTCTTAATATTTCAGTAGTTCCTAAAATTAAAACATAATCCAATTCCTCTAAGAGAAATCAAATGTCTAAAGGCCTCGATTTGAGGCTGTAGAGAACATTAAACCATTCAAACCGAATTATATCACGTACTGCGAACTTCACGTTTCAGTAAATATATAGGTCTACCATAATTTATGACTTCTCAGTGCTGTGTGTGTGTGCGTGTGTGTGCGTGAGCTCCAAAAACCAAGGACACAGAGAGTACAACCATACCCGCGGCGTAGAGAAATAAGCAGGTCCTGCTGTTTATGGTCGAAAATGCATACACAATTATCTAACATAAGGAGCTGGGATAGCGTAGTTGGCAAAGCGACTGGCTACGGGCTGGACGACCGAGGGGTCAGAGTTCGAGTCCCGGTAAGGTCAAAAATTTTCTCTCCTGCAGGCCGACTCTAAAGGCCACTCAGCCTCTTATCCAATGGGTTCGAAGGGTTCTTTCCATTGGGGTAAAGCGGCAGGGGAGTGAAGCTGACCACTCACCTCCACCTAGTGCCGAGATCAAGGTGTGGATCTATACATCCACTCCCTCCATACACCTTCATGGCGTAGTGCTTAATTAGAGAAGCACAGAGACAAATTTACGTTTCTAAATTATTTAACATATTTCAAACAAAACAGCTAAAGACTTACTGCTATTCGGATTATGAAAATTTTGTTTACACTCGCTGTTCTAAAATGTAAAGGTAAAGCATTCCACGCAACAGGCCGTGGGGGCCCATAGGGTTGTGAGACGTCGAGGCTCCCACATTATCTAGAAAATCGGCTCACAGATGTCGGTGAGGTCAGCCGGCTGCCCTTTACCCCCAGATAGATTCATAGTACTCATTTCTGTTACAGGCTGAGTCTACACCAGGGCCATAATGCGGCTGGAAGGATTAGGTCAATTGAAAAATCCAGTGACCTCATCGGGAATCGAACCTGCGACCTTCCGGCTTGTGGCATAGTGCCTCAACCAACTACGCTACCGCGTGCCCCATCACTCACTGTTCTAGTAGCTATATTTAAAAACTTCCAAAAATAAAACCATGAAGCTGTAATTTTCATTTCGCATCGTTAAAAACGATTGGTCCGTTAGTGGTGAGAACAGTTATTGGATTGGTTGCTGATGTCAGAGAGGTGGGCGGGAGACCAACAACAGTTGAGATGGTAAAGTAGGGCGACGTCGCCGAAGCGAGTCAGAGTCAGGACAGTAGCACTGTGTTGTGGCTGTGGCAGTTTGGCATATGACAAAGACTACGGCGAGCAGGCCCTCCGAGGACTAACTCATCTGCAGCAATCAGTTACTCCGTCCAGCCATTCAAACAGTTTTGGCGCCAGCAAACCCCGTCAAGCGACTGTTCCGCCTTCATCAGACCACAAGAACTAAAAGAGATTCATTTATATCACAATACGACTAGGACAGAAACTCTGAGGAAACAACTGTGTGGTGCTGAACAGCAGAAGATGAATTTGCTTGCGAGGGGATTCAGACGCATGTCAACTTATTCGTGAAAGCAAATGTTCAAAGCACAATAAATCTGGAATCGGGTTTCTATAGTTCTGTGTCAAGGTGGTTTCCTGTGTGATTTATGGAAATTAAAACGTCATACTGACTGAAGCCCAACGTAAAGTGTATCAGCAGCATTAGTGGAACTAGGAAAACGTTTACGTAAAGGAGTGTCTACAATTTAAATTCAAGTGTTCAATATCTAGAAATATTTAGGGGAAGTCTTTCATAAAATATTTTTGTCACAAATCCGTTTAAGACTAGGCATGAAAGGATTTCAGTTTAGAACAAAATAAGAGTCATATAACTTTACTCCTGTGACGCAGAAGTTTGTTCAACCGTAAAAAGTAGACTGCCATAAATAACGATTCGTGAATTTCTACAGACATCCAGGTAAATTACCGGTACCTTCTTCTGGCATTCAGACTCACGACGCCTGATACTGGGAGAAAAAGAGAGGGAAGAACACGCCAGATGTTCGAAGTCTGGCAGAAGAACCAAAGACACTTCTAAAGTCGTTTCTTTTGCTACAAATAAATCACATTTACACCAACACCGTTCATTCAGTACAACTTTACGAAGTTATTACTATCTTTTTTAATTTTAATTTCAATATAAAATTTACTCTTTAATTACACAACAGAATTATTTCACGAGAAATAAAAACAAGTACAAGCAATGACAATTATTTTTGTGCTTTCGTCTGGCAAGTATAGCTTATAACTTTTAAAGAACTTCGAGGAACGTAACGTAGAAGTTCTCAGTAAAGGCCGTGCTGTTATACATATATTAATGACAAAGTGATTGCACCTAAGCCGTGAAGAAAGGGAGAAAAAATAACACTTCAAAGGAAAATATATATTCTGATTTAATATTTTTTCTGACCTGTAACTTAATAGAAATGGCGTTAGGAAATATAGTTTTGACAGCTTCTGTGATAGTCTTATACTGTGTGGGGTGCACAAAATCAGAAGGCTGGACTCCCACAACGTTCCGTGAGGTGTCCAACTACAGCAGATCTCAAGACATATCAACCCCCTCATCATCACGAATCAGTGGAAACAACAATCACCGAGACGTGACATCCAGTAACTTCCATCCCACTCGTCGTGACATGAATTCGCGGGCGATGCAGATCACCGTAACCCCGGCAGCAGCGCGCGTCACAACCGATCACCATCTCCAAGACGCGACAGCAAACAGTTTCTACCCTAGCCGTCGCGACTGGACTAAACAGGCTGCAGAAGACGACTCGAATTCAAGTATCCCGGTTACTACGCAGGAATATCCGGGACATCGGGATTATTATCCCAGTCGACGGGAGCGCCCGCAACAGAAGGTCGAGACAATTCAGGTAAGAATGCATGGAATTGTCGTTTTCAGATACCTCCAACCGAGTCCAAGTGTTCAGTATGTGTGCATCTATATCCGCATGTTGTGTAAGAGTGACACAGTGCAGTCTGGTCCATATTACGTTCACTTATGGAACCGTCTCGTCACCAGAATACACAACAAATCCATGATAAAAGCATAACCAATATGTGGCATAGAATAAATACTGCGAAAACAGTGTCTCAAAACATGCTTCTATTCAAGAACAAATAAAGTATACAGGTAGAAGTAAAACTATCTCTGTAACAAGCCGTAGAGGCATATAGAGTCGTGATAAGTCAAGGGAACCACATTAAGACAATCGGCTCATAGATGGCGGTGAAGTTGTCATCCTTAAGCGCCGGCCGCCCTAAAGGAAGATTCCTGGTACGCATTTCTGTTAGAGATTGAGTCAACCCCAGGGCCATAGTGTGGCTGGAAGGATTAGGTGAATTGAAAATTTCGATTATACCATCGGAAATCGAACCCGCGACCTTCCGGCTAGTAGCATAGTACCTCAAGCCACTACGCTACTACATGCCCCCAGAATAAACGAAGAATATATTAAAATTTGGAGAATTATTGCTACCACTCACTTCATATCGTTTATCTTCTCGTCTGGTATCTAAAAACTGTCGTTCCGTTTGTCTTCCATACTAAGGGCGTATTAAGCGGCGTTTCAGAGCAATCATCACTCTGTTCTGACACCCTCAATACATCCTCCAGTCTCTATTTAGACCTAAGACGGAGGAAACTATAGAAAGGCGGTAAAAAAATTATATGAGGGACATTCATAATTCGTACTCAGTCAGCATAGCGGGAGGCCAATGGTTGGAGAGCTGGGGTTCGACTCCCGGCAAGGGAAGATTTTTCTCTTCTCCACAGCGTCCATACCGGCTCTTGGGTCCAGCTAGCGTCCTATCTAATGTGTACTGAGGGCTATTTCCCTGGGAGTAAAACAGTCTGGACGTGAAGCTGACCACTTAACTCCATCTAGTGCCGAGGTCGAGAATGATTGGGGCTATACCTCCACGCCCCATACGTCATCATGGCACAATGCTTAATTAATTAAGCATAGGGACAAGTTTACCTAGTACTATGTTTTACAGTGGTGATCACATGAGTTAAGATTCGATGGGCTGGGCATATAGTACACATGGAATAGATAAGAAAAGTATCTAAAACGTTAGTCTAAAACTTAGGCCGAGCCATAGCTCAAGCGGTTAATTGCTGGCTTCCCATCGCGGCAGCCCGGGTTCAATCCCGGGTCTGGTCAAGTGGGATTTGTGGTCGAGAAAGTGGCGCTGGGGCAGGATTTCTCCGAGTACTTCGGTTTCCCCTGCCAATCTTCATTCCACCAATTGCTCCCCAAACACCCTCACCTATCATTTGGGGCTGGTACAATAGGCCAGAAGTGGCCGCAGTACAAGGGACTTAGTCCCACCCCACTAGCAATAAAAAAAAAGTCTAAAACTTGAAGGGAGAAGAAAGTTACGTTTGTTATTCAACACTGCTCTCAGTATCGAGACCACGCAGCGTCGATGAGAGGATTAATGAACATGCAGCAGTTGGCGGAATCACAAAACCTACCCCAGTGCCACTTTGTCCACCACAAATCCCACATGACCTAACCTGGGCCGCCGCGGCGGGACGCCGGCTACTAAGCGCCTGAGCTATGGCGCGGGCTACGACGAAACTAAGTCAGGACAGCCAGCGTCCGGGACAAGAGTCGAATCGTGCACTTCACGAATACAAATCCGAAGCGCCAACCTGCTTCGTTATATGACGATGCTATGTCGGCATTGGCATTAAGAGGCTGAGGAAAACCGCAAAACAGCTAGTAGGGAGAGGCGGTTCTACCACTGAATACTGCTGGTTCGGTTCACTGGCGCACCTCAACATGTGACTGTCATTACACAGTTAGTGGGTGACTGTGCAGAAAAGTATTGCTAAATGCTATTAGGTCTATAGCGTGCAAGGCTATTGCAATTTGTGGCTCTAACAGCGGGCACTATGAGGAGTCCAGTCTTCCGGGATATAATGACGTACAGCGTGAACTTCGCTTGCTGCCGCTTCGTCTACTGTTCGACCCTGAAGATGGAGGAAATACATTCCTCCGACACATATGTGACTGCATGGCGTCATGTATCAGAAAGTTGTACTCTTCAGGGCTTTTTATTTGGCACTATACAACAAGGTAAAGAAGGTAAGGTTGTCCCTGTGCTTAACTAAGCACAAGGCCATGAAGACGTATGGGGAGTGGATGTATAGACCCACGATTTCTTGACCTCCGAACTAGATTTAGGTGAGTGGTCAGCTTCACGTCCCGGCCGTTTTACACCCGTGGAAAGACTTCCAGGTACCCACTGGATATGAGGCTGGGTGAACCTCAGAGGCAGTCTGGACGACGTGGAGAAGTGAAAATTCTCCCCCCACCGAGACTCGAACTCCGACCCCTTGGTCGTCCAGCCCGTAGCCAGTCGCTATATCGACTGCGATATCCCCACTCTTGGGCATTATAAAACAGGATATGAATATATACCAGCTTTGGTTAGACATACCTTGTCCAAGATATGCCTGTAAGTATAATTTGTATTTATTTACACGTATTTATTGGGGTGGGATGAGACTGAGTCCACTTGGTACGTCGGCCAATAATGGGCCTATTGTATCAGCCCCGGCTGAGAGATGAATATGGAACAATCGGTGGAATGAGAATTGGCAGGGGAAACCGCACTATTCCGAGAAAACCTGCCCCAATGTCATTTTGTTCTCCACAGATCTCATATGACCTGACCTACGACTGATCACGGGTCGCCGCAGTGGGAATGGGTAGGTCTAACTAAGGCCTCAATAGGGCAGGAATCTTTTAATACTGTCATGTGTTGTTAGTGACTTGTAGACGGGGTTTGGATTGGTAAACACATTTACTGACCACTCACAGTTCGTAACTAAAAATAACTATAATATTAATGCTCATTGACACATTAGAAATCACTCCACACAGCCTTCTCAGTCTACTTTCACTAGTCTTCACTTGGTAACAGCTCTCAACAATGGCTATTCCTTTGCAATGGTTTCATCAGACGTTTCCTGGTAACGAATTTTAACAATGGAGATACTACAGCTTCCGTTGCCCGCTGGCTACCACATGACGACTGAACTCTCAACTACGAGTATAATCCTCAACTGAACTAACCACCTATTTCACGTCATTTCCCACAACCGAACCGAACTGAACTCAATAATTCTGATGCCTCGGTTCAATTCATCTGTTCCCAAGCTCATATCCTGGCAGGCTGGCGTCTCGAAACTCCACTGACTTAAATCACCTTCGTTAACGCCGCAGCACGGACCGCACAGAAAACACGTTTACTCAACCGTTCCATAACAACGGCTGTACTCGTCACTTCTCGTATCGTGACAATTCATCTATTGTTGCGTGCGGGCATTACGTAGCAACGGCTGTGGTTCCACAGTTCTTGTTTGAACAAATACGCCATAATACCTTCTATGCTTGAAGATGGAAATGGGAACCATTTTCAAAAAAGTTGTTTCATTCATATCACAAAGTAAAATGGTAGTTCAAGCAAACAGCATTAAACGTTGAGGCATGCAAAATGACTTAAAAATTTGGCTACTAGGTTCAGTTTACTTGGAACCAACGAAACAGTATGTTTGTACCTTTTTTTCTTTTTCCTGAGAAGAATATTTGGATCTAAGAGGCAGGAATTAACAGGAGAAGAAAATCGCAGAGCTTCATAATGTCTACTCACCAAATATTATTAAGATGCTTAAATCAAAAGGGTTGAAATGGGTAGCACGTGTAGCATGTACGCATGGGGGATATGGGAAATACAACGAAGAATAACAAAGTAAAAACTATCCCTGTAACGGGCGGTGAAGGCCATAGGATTGTGAGACGTCGAGGCTCCCGCATTTTACTACACAATCGGTTCGCAGATGGAAGTGTGGTTGTCAGTCTTACGCGCCGGCCCCGCTTTACCTTCAAAGAAGATTCCTGATACTTCTGTTGGAGTCTGAGTCGACCCCAGGCGCACAGTGCGGCTGGAATGATTAGGTCAATTGAAAAATCCAATGACATCTGGATTCGAACGCGCGACCTTCCGGCTTGTAGCACCTCAACCAACTACGCTACGGCATGCCCCTCATGGGAAATACATACAGAAGTTTATTCGGTACATCTGAGGCGTGGTCATGGTGTCCGGTTGTTGAGGAGTAGCGAGATGTTATGATGAAATTTCGGGTTCTATAAAAGGCGGGGTATCTGTTGTGTAGCTGAACAAAAATCAGTTTCTGAAGAATTCCATCGCTTGCTTTAAGGAAGTACATTACGCGCCTCCGGAATATAAATACGGTATTACTATCCGCGCAGTTGGTCTTCGTGACAAGTTCAATGACACTGCAGTCGGTGAACCACGGTTCGATATTCGATCCTTATGCATGAAGTGATGGTTGGAAAGCTTAACTAACCCCTTACTAACTTTTGCCTTGTAATCATGAGGTCCTCGTTCAGAATATCAGCCAATACCTTGCCTTAGCAACTTAGAGTGAAAGTAAACAATCTCCCCTTTCGCCCTCCACAAACAAACATGGCAGTCAAGTTACTACCAATTGTGAGAAGCATTTCATCAAGTAGAGGTAATTAAATCTGTCATTCAGACACGTGGGGAAGAGAAGGTCCAACTCTGCCATTCTTGACCTCGGCATCAGATGGAGGTTAGTGGTCAACTTCACCCCCCGGCCACTTTATCTCCGTGGACAGAGCTCCCGGTACCTATTGCATAGGATGGTGTATGGGCCCAAGAGCCGGTCTGGACGCTGTAGAGTAGAGAACAAAAATTCTCGAAAGAATTAACCGCTTATTTCATTGCTAGTGGGGTGGGACTAAGTCCCCTGTACTGCGGCCACTTCTGGCCTATTGTACCAGCACCAGACGATAGGTGAGGGTGAAGATTGGCA